ATGTATGTATGTATGTACGTATACGTTTGTTTGTTTTCAAGTTTGGTCTACACTTTAATAAATATATGTGCTCGGAAAATAATGTACATACCAAGGTGACTCGGCGAGAACAGCTGGCTCTCAAGAACCGCAAGACCAGCGAAAGCGCCAAGCCCATCGGCAAGGAGAAGGACATCGAAGACGAGCAGGGCAAGGGCGAGGACCACGAAGCCAAGCATCGCAAAGGCAAGCAGAACGAGGAGAAGGACAACGAAGACAAGCAGGGCAAGGACAAGGACAAGGACGCTTCGGGCCGAGACAAGCGCAAGAAACTTCGTAAAGTCAAGCAGGACAAGGAGAAGGACAACGAAGACAAGCGGGACAAGAACAAGGACATGATCCACGAGGATGCGGCGACCCCTGACTTCAGCAATCAGCTCAGTGCCCCGGCAAACATGCCGAAGCTCAGAAGGAGAGAAGCCCTGAAGGGTGGCGGGGATCTTTCTGATGAGATGGAAGCAGAAGCGGCTGCGACTGAGGACACCAAGTTCTACGATCCCGATTCCTTGAAGGAAAAGGATGACGATGACGCCGGCAATGGCACGGATGATGAGCAGACCCAGCCCAAGAAGGCCAAGAAGAAGTCCAAGCGGCCTGCCACCGAGGAGCCAGAGTCGTCCGGGCTTGGTTGCACAAGGGCCACGAAGGACGGCAAGAGAAAGCGGCAGGCATCGGCCAAGGCCAAAGCTGGCGGCAAGAAGGCGAAGGTCAAGAAGGGCGGCGAGTGCGACGAGAAGCCGAAGATCGACTTCGAGAGTGACAATCCCAAGAAGACATTCGCAAAGCGGCCTTTGCCAAAAACGGCAGTCGGCCAGGCGAGATGGTTCGCGACTCGAAAGGCTTTCGAAGACAAGATCCGCAAGCAGCTCATCAGCCCGAGCCTGCACGAGGACTCTGATTGTCGAGAGGTGTCGTTTAGTGTATATATTATATCTATATATATATATGTGCAATACAAACCAACCCAAGGTCTAAAACGAAAACAGTCAGCACATTTATTTGCTCCTCCCATATATACATATACACGCATACATGCATACATACATGCATGCATACATACATACATACATACATACATGCAAACATACATACATGCAGACATACACACACATGCATGCATACACATATACATATGCATCTACATATATACAAATATACATATACATATACAGATATTATATGCATAGACACACGCAGACGGACATACATACAAACATGTATGTAGGTAAGTATGTATGTATGTATGTCTGTATGTATGTATGTATGTATGTATGTATGTATATATGTATGCATATATATATATATACATGTGTATGTATGTGTGTATGTATGTATGTATGTATGTATGTATGTATGTATTCATGCATGCATGGATGCATGGATGGATGGATGGATGGTATGTATGTATGTATGTATGTATGTATGTATGAATGTATGTATGTATGTATGTATGTAGGCATGTAGGTAGGTAGGTAGGTAGGTAGGTAGGTATGTATGTATGTATGTATGTATGTATATATACACATGTTTTTAGATATGTACATATACATGACCATATTGTGTGTGTACATACATGCAAATATACCATAGAGCTACCCGACTCATGTTCCCGCCGATATCCTCCGTTGCAACAGGATGCCTTTTTTGGTGCATGCACCGTGGTGTTCGACAAGATGGAAACGGATTCGGATGTGAATGAGTTCTACAAGGCTGCGGTCCGTGCTGCAGACCAGTACGTTTTGGACCATCAGCAGTGAAAGATCTGAAGGTACACGTGCTGTGTGCCACGATCGTGATAGTTGCTGGAAAGCAGCAGAGTTTCTTGGGCTACTGTGCAACCATGCAAGATTTCAATCCATCAGCTGTCATTTTCTTTACGCTTCACACAATCCCATTTCGTCATCACCTATGCTTCTATAGATTCTATTAAGTTGTAATTCTATATAACTATATACATTTACATATGGTACATAAACCAGTACAACTAAACTTGATGATGCAAGTGTTCTGCTTGTTGCCGGGGTGGGCAGCTATTTGAAAGGATTGAAGGCCTTGCTGTCGGGTATGGCCCGCAGAGCGACTCTGGAGGGGAGCTGCAAAACAGTCTTTTGTGCAGGGCTGCAAAGCATTGGGACCCACATTTCGATGCAGCTCACATCTAGGTAACTTACATATGGTAGGCATGTATGTCGACAACCACAAACCCTCGCTAACCCAATCTCCTAAAACCCTCTAACCCTTACAAACCCCTTAGGCCCTGCAACCCCTTAGAGAACTTGCCGCATCCCAGCGCCCAGGCCTCAATGGCATGGCGGCTGCGATATGGAGCTGAGGGTGCAGACAACCATCCGGATCGTATGGCCTCCATGTTTGAAAGTTTTGGAATTCTGTGGGTTTCTGACTCTGGCATGTTCAGCTTTACACTCCTGCATTCAAAGCTTGGGCTCGGGGCTGTGCAGAGTGGGTCTGCGCTATGTGGAGCTCAATACGTGGTTTGTGATCCATGCTTTCTCACCAGCTGCACGTGTTTCTCGTCAACGCACAACACAATGGCTAGGGGAGTTGCTTATCTATACAGAAATTATCACAGGTAGCTGCTGTGTGCATGCAATGGTAGCAATGTCAGAAGTTACATCGATGGAGCATCTGATTCGAAAGATATGCTGGCTGGGCGGCCCCAAAGCTACTTGCCCGCACTGTTCCGCTCCACTCTAAATCCAACCAACATATGCCCCTGGTTGTCAGCCTCGGCACTGCTCTGCTGAAGGTTCTCATGGCCTGCATCGTCCTGCTGACCTTCGCGGAAAACGTTCCTACGTTTCGCCAGGCTGGTTTGATCGTGAGGGAGTTGAACCTGTATTCATTTAAATTCGTCTTGCTTCAGATACCGCCCCTGTAGGCGTACTCCTGTATTGAGTTGTTTGCTGGAACAGCTTGGGTTACGAAGTGTTTTCGCATTGGGGGGCACCCAGCAGCGGCACTGGACATTGCTATGGGGGACCCCGGATCTGGACCTACGAATGCTTTCGACCTGACAACAGCCCCTGGCATGGCGCTTCCTGTCTATCAAGTTACACCAATCGAGATGAACAGCATCTTTTAAATAGTGTGGCTTCGCGAAATAAATGCTAGCTAGACTGGTACATTCCCAGCCTCATGATGCCCAGGCTTGCACTCGCCACAATTCTCAATGGCAAGCCAGAGAAATTCTTCACAATGTGTGCAACTGTGTGCAGTTCATTCGTGCCTGTCAACAGCGGCACTCATATGAGAAGCTTCGCCACTCCGATGGGCAACACTGAAGCCCCGTCTGTGCAGCAAGGAAACTTGCTGGCCAGCCGGTCCCTCGCTAGACATGATGCGAATATAGGCATGTGTGTTTAGTTAGGGTTGAGGGTTTAGGGTTTTAGGGCATAATCTATATATGTATATAATATAAAGCGATAAGAAGCCAGTGCTGCACGGGGTTTGGTAACCTATTGTTACGTTCATTGCCCTTGGATTCTTCCTGAAGACACACCTACCAAGTTTAGTAGAAGAGTGGTGTACTTTTAGTTCTGTTTCTTTATAGATGTACATCTTTTATGCCATGGTCTACCCTATCTGAGCAGTTTTGGTACAGTCGACCTAAGCGCTCTTTCCCAAACTTGAATAATAACCTGCTCTTGTAAATCCCCGATCATAAGCTGCAAGCCACATGAGTTGCGAACCCGAGTTCAGCTGTCAAGTGTTGTGGCTCGGACCATGTAAAACCCTAAACCCTAAACCCTAAACCGTGGAGTGCTCCAAAAAGCAGTGCCCCCAAAACACCAACTCTGTATGTCTATATACATGTATGTGTATGTATGTATGCACATGGATGCATGTATACAGCTATGCATGCATGCACGTATTTGTGTGTGTGTGTGTGTATTTGTATGCACACATATATATGTATATACATATATAGGCATGCGTGCGTGTATGCATGTATGTGTATATATAATGTATGGCACGCATGAGATTGAAATTGTATGGTGAGACAAAATAAAGATGTTGTTTTTTTGAGGGTAAGGTATCATGCAAAGTTATGCTTGCATGCATGTATTTATGGATGCATGTATTCATGTGTGTGTGTGTGTCTGTGTCTACGTGCATCTGTGTGTATGAGCCCTAAACCTCTGCACTCCTTCTATAGCCTGGAAACCACGAAACCCCCAAATCCTCTAATCCCTTACCACTCTCCTGTGCTAAGCCTGGATTGATATTTGTGCCAAGGACGGCGCTACTCCTCTTCCTGGCCACTGTTGTCGGCGGATCGTGGATCCTGGAGCAGCCAGCTGCTTCAGTACTTGCTTCACATCCCAGGATCAGATGGCTGTTCTTTGCGGTCAAACCAGTGTTTCGTTTGCAAAGCAAGCCTCAGTTAAACCTACACAGTCTAGGAAACACGAACATCAATAAATGTCCCAAATCAGAAACTAAACCAATTAAGTCCCCGCCAGACTAGGTCTTTCGGGTCCAGTGGTGGATGGGTGCCTATGGCTCCGCCACACCGAAATCTCACGTGGGGTATTCCAATAGCAAAGAAGTTTCTGGCTTATGGCGAGGCCGTCTTTCCCGAGATAAGATGAAGGCCCTGAAGGCCAAGACCTCCACTACCCGGGTATACATCAACTCCCAAGGGAAGCGCTGTTGGGTTGGTACCAAAAGCTTGAAACTCACACAGAACCTTGCTCTGAATTAAGCAATTTTAAGTGAACTGATGTTGCTTGTAGCATGTGTATATGTGTAGGGTACAAACTCTTTTCAAGCGGGTGACTTTACCGGACGAGCCGCAGCCTAGGCACTACCCACCCAGGTTTGGCCTACGAGTTCTCCGCTTGTTCCGAAGGCTTTGCAAGGGGTCTCACAAGTGCGGCTTATTACCTCCAGAGTACCGGAGGTCCTCTGCTCTGGAACTTTTTAGCAATGCTGCTTGGGGTGATCTTTGGGAGGATGCACGAATGCCGGAGGTTATCCAATACTTAATTGGTAATCGTGGGCTGGATTTGCCACAATGCTGGCGTGAACAGTTTCCTTCCCACCTATAAAGGAGCCGATCAAGGGGGCAGGTGAAAACCGTCTTACTCTAGATCGAGTGCTTCGTAGGTCTAGGGTAGTCCATCTCTACATAAGCATGGTAATAAGATCCGACGGAGTTTCGGTGCAAGCCCCCTAAGTCCGCACTACCTCCCAATTGCAGGTGTGTGCACTTGCCCAACAGATTAGCCAGAACGGTACCACCGAGCCTAGTTGTCAGCTTCCTGTCTTGTAACGTTCAAAGCCTCAAAGGTGCAAAGCCTCAAAGGTGACCCTTATTGAAGCCTAGACTAGCAGTCTATCTATTTATATATATATATATACATACATAGATAGATACAGAACCTTGTAAAGTAATCCGTCGGAAAAGGAAGCAACCTAAAGCTTATAAACCGTAAACCCCCTAAACACTATACATGCTACTAACCCCTACATAGCCCGTAAACCCTATAAACCCTATATATATGAACCCTACACACCTCCGAAACGCTCATCTGGTGGGATGATCCGTCTTGAGGTGGGGAGGGCTTCGGCTTCTAAATTCGGTTGATGCCTAGGACAGGGCTTTCCTCGAACGGGGAACCGGAGTTAGCTGGGCCCAATGGTTTTCTGTGTAGTGCATACACATGTATAAACACACTCGTTTAGTTGTTTCTACATATATATATATATAGAGATACGTTGATACTTATATACACATATATACACACATACATACATACATACATACATACATACATACATATATACATATGTATGTATATATATATATATTCATTGTCATAATTTGTTTCTACACATATTTACCTATGTCGGCTTACCTGCATGCATGTGTGTATATATATATATACATAGTATCTATGCACATGCTTAGGACTTTCGATGTTTCTAGTGTGTGTGTATATATATATATACCCATATACATATATAGTTCAGTTAGTACAAGGGCTCCTCCTCTAAGATCCTGGGGTGTCCTTCTGCTTGCTATAGGATACAAGGAATGGAGATCTCGAAGTCCTGAAATTTGGGGTCGGAACAAGGTCCTGGAGTAATATATATCGTGAGAAGAATTTCGGAGGGTTTGCCCTGGGCTTTGCCATGAAACTCCTTACTGATATCTAGATGCAGCTAAACTTCTTAACTTGGGATTTGTGCTTGTGCGGTCCTGTAATACAAGGATACTTAAGGCCTTAATTATGCCTTGTGGGGTCAATTCTTGTGCTGTAATTGAACTTACAGAGAGGAAAGAGTTCGGGTTCATGGCGGGTATGTGTATACTGTTATGCAAAGTATAGAAGGCATCAACATTTGCAAACCGGTCCAGTCCTGCAGTGAGCAATTAGATTAAATTCTTACAAGGGTCCGAACCCTGTAAACCCTATAAACCCGAATGAACCCTGTCACCCTGTAAATCCTCGAAACCCCAAACCCTATATAAACCCTTTGTAGGCCCTGTAAAACCTAAACCCTTTAAACCCTATATAAACCCTATAAACCCCTATAATGGAAGGCAAACCCTGAGACACCCTTCAGGCACAGGACAGATCCTGTGTCGTAGTACACGTAGAAGGCCAATGCGCGAATGCCTGGGTCAGGTCTTAATTGTGCTGTATATAATAGAAGGCAAACCCTGGGACACGACGTACGCTGCTAGGACAGGTCCTGTAGTGTATATAGTACAAGTAGAAGGCAAACCCAGGACACCGCTCAGGCCGCTGGCTAGGACAGGTCTTGTGCTGTAGTACAAACAGAAGGCAAACCTGGGACTTGTTCTCGATCTAGGTCCTCTTTTTTGAACCTGCAGTATATTTCAGTTTGTGGTTTTTAAGGTAATCTTGGTCCTGAAGTACTATACATCATGGAGGACAACCCGAAATACGTATTTAATACGTACCCCCAAGTCGGAATACGTACAAAATACGTACCCTGTGCCAAGCAAAAAGCGGGACCCGTATAAGTCCCGTATTTATCCGTAGAAGTCCCGTAAAAAGCCGGAGGAAAATACGTACAAAATGCGTACTTTTGCTGCTTTCGGATATACTCGTTTTTAGAGGCAACCAAGACTGTTTGGGGCATTCTTTTAGCTATGAGGCATGTATACTTTCAGGTAGCTAGGTTCTGGGGTATTGTCTCACATCTTATGATGCTAGCTCGGCTCATATAGGCTTCATCAGGATGACCGCCGCTCCGTCCAGGGCACTAGTTTCTAGACAGTGGAGTTGCTCAGCTCTTACAGGGGCTGCGAAACAAATGATGATGGTGAAGAAGGAAGAGCCTGACATGAGTGAGGATGCTCAGTTGGAGGAGGAAATCCAGGTGGGGACCCCGAAATCCTAAACACTGCATATACATACATATATATATATGATGCTAATTATATAGTATATATATACATACATATATATATATATATATTATGTATGCACACTGCCGGCAGGCGGCCGAACGGCAACTTCAGAAGTTGAAGCTCCGTCGCTCCTCCTCCACGCTCGAAGAGGCGGTGGTTGGTATGCGGGAATATCTACGGGAACAAACAAACAGAGACAGAGAGAGAGAGAGAGAGAGAGAGAAAGATATAGATACATATCTATCTATCTATCTATCTATGTATATATATATACAATATAAAGACAAAGGAAAACTGACAGGAGGGAGTGGGAGGGTGAGACAGAGGGTGAGACAGTGAGAGATTGGGTACGAGCAAGGGACAGTGGGGAAGAGAGAGAGAGAGAGAGAGATATATATATATATATATAGATATATACATATATGTACACACACACATATATATATACACACACATATTTTTAGGAAAGACTATAAGAGACACCGAGACAGGACAACCTAGAATCACACAGATGGCAGAGACATCGAACTTTTATGTATCTACATACCTATCTCTCGAATGCACATATGTTTGCATGTAGGTGGGTGCATGTAGGTGGGTATGTATGTCTGTGTAAAGATGGATACATGGAGGTAAGTATGTACGTGTGTCCGCATGTGTGTAACTATGTATGCATGTATGTATGCATGCATGTATGTGTATATGTGTGTGTATATGTGTAAGTGTGCATATGAAGATGTGTGTGCGTACAAATGTATGCATGCATAGGTACATATGTACATACATACATACATACATACATACATACATACATTCATATATATACATATACATGTCGAAAAAACATATAGATTTGGATATGTGTAGAACCATATATATATATATGTAAGTGTGTATATATATATTAATATTATATGTAACCGTGTATATATATATATGTATACATGTATACAAGACTACACTTACACACGTACATGTGTATAGATATATAAGTATGTAAGTGTATGTGTGTATGTATATATATATATATGTATGTGTGTATGTATGTATGTATGTATGTATGCATGTATGTATCTTTGAGGATGCAAGGATGAATACATGCAACTGAAACACGTAATTGCATGCTTTCATTTCTCCTCAGTTTGTTATGGTGTTATGCTGCATGTGTATGTATGTATGTGTGTATGTATGTATTTATGCATGTATGTATGTATGTATGTATGTATGTATGTATGTATGTACATATGCACGTATATATATATATACACTATATTATAATATGTTATATTATATTATGTTATATTATATTATATTATATTATATTATATTATATTATAGTATAGTATATTATATTATATTATAATGCATTATATTATTTTATATTATATGTGTATATATATATAATGTATATATATATATATGTGTAAGTATATCTGTACATGCATGTATGTATATATGTTTGTGTGTGCAGTGAATTTATTGATGCTCATTCATGCACGTGTCTTCTTGTTGTCATTTCGTCATTCCACGCGAACATACATACCTACAGACATACATACATAAATACATACATATATATATACACATATCTATGTCTATATGTGTTTATATAGATAAAATTTCTCTGTGGGTGTTACTGTCGGTTGCATCTTTGTTTTCCTCGTCCATTTTGGCTTGGTTCTTTGGTGCGTCGGTCTAGCTCGATCTGTCTTTCTGCTGGTCTGTTTGTCTATGTGTCTTTGGTGCGTCTCTGCATATGTGAGTTTGTTTCTGTCTCTCTTCTCTCTCATTTCCCTCTCATTTCAATCTCAGACAGATCCGCCCGGTTCGAAGTCGTCACGGGCTGATTGTCTACAATATAGTTGAAGTATGGTTCTATATGCTTTGCAACAGATTTGCGGTGCTGCTGATAAAATTTTCGCAGGCAGCTCCGACTCCGAAGAAGCCCCGCCGGTGCACAGCTGCCAAAGCAATGCCTGCTCCCAAAAACACGAGATCGACGCCATCAACAAGAACGCCTGCCCCGAGCCCAAGCACCACTCCAGAGCCACGGAGGGCTGTTCCCGGCGCAACCCCGTCTCCTCCTTCCCAACCGAGCAAAAGAGCTGCGCCGACCGAGCAACTCGACCCCCTCCAAGTCAAGCTCCAGGAGCTTGAGAAGGTGCGCCGGGGTTTGTGGGGGCATGCAACGGTTAGACTCTTGTGCGTTCTGAAGTAGAAGATTCTTTCATTCTAGAGCATACATATCATGTGTCCATCTCCAAAAGCAGCCCAGATTCTGTGTCCTTGGAGGAGGCAGCAGCTGTGAAGATGCAGATGCTGAGTGGAAAGAAGAATCCTGCTCCTTCCTCAGACGAAGGAACCCCGCCCGCAAAAATCATCAAGCCCTCCCGGTCCCCCGCCCCATCGGAGTTATCAACGGCTGCACCAGCTTCCGTGGAGTCTGCCGAAGCACCGGCTTCTGAGGACTGGGTACTTAGTTCTGCTCGAGCTTCTTATGAAGACATGTGCAGACGCACACACACGCACATAAATAGATCTATATAGATATAGACACATATAGCTTTGAACACGTGCACATCTGCATAAGTGGCTGTACACACACATATATATATATATAGATATAGAGATACCTACATATATATACATATATATGTGTGTGTGTGTGTGGTTGTACCTACATACATGCAAGCATGCATGCATCCATCCATACATACATATACACACTCCACACGTACTGACATACATCCCAAATGTATGTATGTACACATGCACATATGTATATGTGCATGAAGCTTTAAATGCAGTATACCTACGTAACTATCTACAATACTAAAAGTACTAGTCATAACCATAAATAAATAAATTAATGAATAATATATATATATATAATATGTATGTGTACCTCACATACAACATGTGTGTTATGTGTGTAATATGGGAGTGTTTCCCAAGTCAGGCGTCGTGTTGCTATCTGTGTTTCTCCCCTTTGCTATCCACTGTAAAAGTGCACATAAACCAACCTAGCTGCATGCTTATATGTGTCTGTCCTTATATAGAGACACATCTATTCTTCTGTTTACATACTAATAGTTTCTCTCTCTTTCTCTATTGTTCCATCCTTCTTCTTCGAGCTCTGATCACTCCAGATTTCTCTGTCTCGGCTCATTTCTTCCTTTGTCTCGGTCTCTCTGTCTCTCTCTCTCTCGCTCTCTCTCTCTCTCTCTCTCTCTCTCTCTCTCTCTTTGTTTCTTTCTTTCTGTCCATGCTTCTCCTGCTGCATGGATTTCTCTGCCCTGCGCCAATGCTCCTTGCATCGTTCTGGGTCTCTTTCTAGTTTTGCTTCTCCTGTTTTTGCTTTTTCTTTGTTTCTGTGTGCCTTGCACCGGCGTACTACATGGTAGCTAGAGGTCCCTCCCTCGCCCTCCCTCCCTCCCTCCCTCCCTCCCCCTCTCCCTCCCTCTCTTATTTTTGTCTCCGTCTCTGTCTTGTTCTCGGTCTCTTTCTCGTTATCCTTCGATCCGTCTGGATTATGCATATATGTTTTATCCTTCTCTCTCCCGCTCGGTTTGGTTTCTCTCTCATCTCTTCCTCTCTATTTTGCTTGCCACTACATGCATGTCTTCCTCTTGTACTCTTCTCCTCTATCTCTCGATCTCTCTGTCTCTCTCTCTCTACCAGGCTATCTCCCTCGATCTCTCTCCCCCTCTCTTCTCCCTCTCTCTCTCTCTCTCTCTCTCTCTCTCTCTCTGTCTCTCTTCTGTCTCTCTTTCTCTTGTTGTTTCCCTCCCTCTCATTCTCGCTCGAACATCTGTTATTGATCGTCCTTCTGTGAAGGCAGCAAGAGAGAACCGCCTTCGGCGGATCTGCGAGAGGAAGCCGTCGGGCAAGCTGCTGGTTCCGTTGAATATTCATGAGCAGTGGGCGAAGGGTGGCACGGAAAGGAAGGAGCTAATGGTTTACCTGGATGAGAAGTGTGACTGGAACCGGGACCGGATCTTACATATGTACATGTTGCATCACAGAAATGGCTCAGACATCTACATGACATATGCGACATATCTGCTTCCCTCCAGGACAAATTCATCGCGACGGTTTCGAAAATCAAGGAGACAGTGAGCAGAGTCTCGCAAAAGAAAAAGCGAGGATGGTTCACAGCCGAGCGGATGAAGACGAAGTTGGGATGGAGTGGGTTACTTGTTCTTTTATGCATCTGTGGAGGGGTCAGATGTGTATGTGTGTGTGTGTGTGCGTGTGCGTGTGTGCGTGTGCAGATTACATTATGTTGTAAACAAAGGAGCTGCAAGATCTGAGGTCTTACATCAAGGATGTGGTTAAGTTCTGCAAGAAGAAAGGAAATGAACACCTGGTCAAGTTCCTTGGCTCAGGTATGTTCATGTGAATTATGTGGTCTTGCTGATCGGCTTGCGGGTTCTAACATGTACATATATATACATTCCATAGCTACATAACAAAATAAGGAAGGACAAATACAACAGCAAGATCGAGAAGTTCTATGTCGACTTCGAGGAAGAAGATGAAGATTACATTCATGATGAAGAAAAGGAGCGGCATGAGGAGGTAAACGGCGCGGCAACTTGATTGCAAAGATCTTACGAATCGGATCCAACATGGTGCTCAGCATGTGCCTTAATTAATTACTTAAGTACGCGTATTCGACCCAGCTAAGGCGAACCCCGTGAACCTGTCCCGTGGAGGCGCCTTCCCGGCGGAGCCCGAAAGCACAGCTGTGGAAGATGAGGATGCGAAGCGGCCTGAAGCCGCCGAGATCACATCTTCCCAACAGGACGCGAACTGGGTCAACACCAAATTTCACTAAACCCGCACACATGATGAACCGTAGCCCAAACACACCAGATTCTTCAGGGACCCGCCTTGGTGCATATCTTACAGGAGGCCAACACCTTCAAGAAGTTCGGCGACAGCCTCCTGACCAAGGCTGCGAAGCTGAGCGATTTGGTCTCCGCCGTGGAGAGCTACATCCCGGAGATAAACGAGGAACATGCTGACCACAAGCGTGTGACAAAGTATGACTCTTATAGATTCTGCTGCATATTCGTACCATAGCTACGACCATCTTTCTTGCATCACAAGACTTCTTGTCTTCAGTCTTCAGGTGCATTTCCAACCTAGAAGCTGCGACTGAAGTCGTGGAGAAGGAGTATGAAGCGGTGCAGGCCGTCAAAGCAGACGTTGATTCTCACTTGAAGAAAAAGGGCCTCGCGGAGACGGAAGAGAGGCAGCACCTTCACAGCACTTGGATCGTTGGAGTCTTGCCACTACAACAACAAACTGATGGAGCTGTTTTTGAATTCTAGAAGCTCTGAATGTGTCAGTACATATTAAAGCATCTCTTGTCACTCACGCGGCACCATGGTAGCAGACGAGGCTCATCGCCAAAATGACGGCACAGACTGCTGCTACAAATGTCAAGAGCCTTGGCTTCTTTGGGTCACTCACCTAGTGGCTCAAGTTTTTCTAGGCTTCTTGTGCTTCCCGAGAGTGGCCTTCTCCGAGGTGTTCCAAGGTGATCACGGCAGAGAACACCGCGAAGAGTCTCGGCCAGTGCACTTCAAATGACTCTGCATGCAACACTTGAACCATCTAGAATCTAGCTGTTGCTTTGCTCCGGGATGTGCTTTGGCTCAGGAACTTGCTGAAGCACCTCCGCCACACCTATGGATGATTGGGCTGAGCCTTGGGGTTATGGACCTCGAGCCATCTAGAAAGATTTCTGATCTGAGCCTCCACAGGAGACAGTTATCTTCTATAACCGTTAGATAAGTTACTTACTTACCTCTATATAAAAGAATCGGAGCCTATTGCATTGCTGTGGTTATACGTTTTCATTATATGGTTTGGCTTCGTGCTTCTTGTGCGGCTCGCTGGGTGATGGCCCTGGTCTACTGGTTTATTTTAAATATGCCAGGGGACGTTTGCCGTGCCAGCTGGCTCTTCCAGCTGTGTGCAATAATGATTGCATGCGCAACCTGGGTCAGGCCTAGACTATATTCTACTTTCGGGGTTGGTTTTGCTTGCTTGGCCCGGGACAATGCTCTGAAGAAGAGATCGAGTACAATGCTGGCACGCCCGAAAAGACTTGTGTGCACTCCATGCACGCAGTAGTTCAAGAAACCCTGAAACCCTAAACCCTATATGTAAACCCGAAAACACTATAAACCCTAAGAACCTATACCAACCTCGACCTTCCAGCTTCGTGCCAGGATGGGAGCCCGGCAGTGTCGTTCGACAGATGGCCAAGATGGTGGCACACGGGGTTCCAACCTGAGTGAGCAATTGCACGATTGAGTGACTCCTGCAGGTTCTGCTCCAATTGATTATGGCTGCTTGTGCGAGCTTAGGCTTTAGCTTTGCCTATGCGGGTACTTGTTGCTCGCTATTCCCACGGAACTATATATGTATATGTGCAAGAAATGCCATACATGGCAAACTTTCGCTTGGGTTTACAATTTTATGATACTATATAAGGAACCCAATTAAGCCCCTAGCTCCCATATATGTAGATCGGATGATAGGACACCTGTAGATTTTAGGCATCACCTGTGCCATGGATGACCTCTTGGACTTGCTGACGTATGATTGTCCTATCACTGGCAAGAAGCGCTGTGCTGTAGATATTGACAGATCTAGCGCCGAGTTTCTCAACTGCACTAGCCTACTCTTTCATGCTCGAGAATTATGTTACCATGTTTGCAAAAGGGGCCCTATGTCCTTGGTTTCCTACTGAGAGCCAGCCCAGGACTTCTGAAGAACGTCGTGCTGCTTGTTCGACACAAGGACCGAATAAAAGATTATCTACCTCAGCAAAGACTTCTTGCAACGAGATACAGAAGTTTCCTGAGTTGCCGGCTGATACCGAGCAGTTTCGGTCTCATCCGCAGCGAGTTGCAACTGAGCTGAACAAATGTCAAACTTCATGCAGTTCTAGAGTCTAGAGCTTTTTGTTGTGGCTGGTATTCGGAAATGAACTAAGGATTTGAAAGTCCTCTTGCAAGCATCCCGATCCCTGCAAGAGCTATCTGCTCAAGTTGACACTGCGGAGATCCCCTGGACGTCCCTGAAAGGCTTTGGGCTGCTGAACCGAATGATGCCAGTGAAGGCTGTGCGGCCTACCAGTGGACGAATTCTAGCATACTGCAAGAACCAGGTCTCTGCATTTCGTGAAAATATGGGCATTCGTCTTACTGTCTTCAAGATAGGAGTAACTGCAGATCCCATTTCCCGATTCTTATTGTACCGCAAGGCAAACTACACGACTATGTGGGTCATTTTCTCAGGTATGGATGTCAAAGAAATCCATATGCTAGAAGCTGCTCTCATCAGCTACTTTGAAAACGGCACGGGCTGTCGCAATGCATCCGATAGTGGTGGTGAAGGAGCTCTAAATCGATCTGAGTCTGTTGGCCCTTTCTTTGCATATGTTGTCGGTGCTCGTGCTGATCAGAACAAACGTATCGGGTGATGATAGAATGTCATCAATCTGGGCAAGGTCTATGTACACACGTATGGACCTAAAGCCGAAGCTTTCTTTAGCGAGTCCGCGGGGTGTCGGGTGGAACCACAGCTCGATGGGGAAAAATGTTTGCAGCCACAAATGCAATCTTGCAAGCATGCGTGCAGGCAACATGAGCATCCTTGTGCAGACTGTCTTGGGAGCACGATTTTCAACATACATATAATGATCATATTTCCCTGCGCGGCCGAGGCTCCTTGCAACCAGGCGGTCGCTGTGGCTAAGGCTGCGGTGCGAGACAGGCCAGCAGATCAAGTGACACCAGCACTCAGGGAATTTGCCCAAGTCAGGGAGAACGATGCCGAGGAAGCGTGCCACAAACTTTTCAAAAAGTACAACTTATGCAGCCCCGTGAAGCTTGAGACGCTGAATCTTGGACGAGGGGAGATGAGAACTTTCCCATATGTTCGAATATCCTCTTGGATTCAACATGTGCTTGATTTGGGGCGCATCGATCTTTTATGTGGTGTCGATGGGGAACATATGGAAAGCTTGCTGGCTGAATTTTGGTCAAGGTACCGAATTCTCCATGCTGACCACGAGGTTTTTACTTCAGGGATCAACCTTTCCCGATCCGTGCCCGTTTTCGGGCACATCGACGAAGGGCGTACGTTCAAATCAAAGGCCTTGCTTATCCTCAGCATCCACGGAGCTTTGGGGAAGGGTACCGCCAGCTACAAAAAGCGAGCAGCGCCGAATGCGAGAGGAGACTTCAAGGATTCTGGTATGGGCATGAACTACTTGGGGGCGACGTGGTCCAACCAGTTTATGTTTTGCTGCATCCAGCGCACGATTTTCAGCCAAGATCCATCTATGTTGGAAACCATTTTTGCAACTTTCGCATCAGACATGGCGATGTTGGCAACAAGGGGCATCAGCAGCTCGAGTGGCAGGGACCACATTTATGTGGTCATGCTCGGGCTGAAAGGAGATCTTCCTGCCCTGCAGAAGGCAGGTGATCTCACTAGAAATTTCATGAAGGGCCCCAAAAAGGCTACTTCCCAGAAGCCGTGTGACGGCGTGTGCTGGCTCTGCCTAGCAGGCCAGGAACAGCCATTGCACGTCCCGTTTGAAGATTTTGGTGAGGACGCTCTGTGGAAGCTAACCATGCACGCGAAGGAGCCTTGGGAAAGGAAGCCGACTATCATGGGCAATCTGCCAATTCAGCCAAGTGCTGTATCTGGATTCTTCATCACGGACATTTGGCACAACTGGCATAATGGAGTAGCGAAGATCTATGTTGCAAATGCTGTTGCAACGATGGTTACAACGACAGGTATTATTCCAGCGAATTCCATCGATGCCAAGTTTCAATTTTTGACAACAGACTACAGGAGCTTTTGTGCCCGGCAAGGGATTGCGCCATACCTTCAGGAGCTATCGAGGGACACTTTCGGGTTCGATTCGGCAACAGCCTCACCGCATGGTTCTTGGAACAAGGCCGTCGTGAGTACGCACCTCATGCTTTTCTTGGCCGATTTTGCTGCTCGTTTTATTGACGGGAAAACGACGGATTATCTTCTCACCTCCATCGACTCTCGCCGCAATATTCAAGCTTTTAAATTGGCTTTTGCAGCATTTAAATCACATCGAATGTTTCTGTTTCCATGGCTGCTATATACTGCATGCGGTCTAGATTGTCGACACGACAGTTGCTTATGTGTGGACATGCATGACTGTATGATGCTTGTATGTGTGCTCGTGTATTGTATGTAACTTCCGAGGCCTACATGACCAGCATCATGAACATCTTCATCTCTGCCCTCTACACAGAGGGGTATTGGATTCCTGCAACCCGTGGGAAATTTCTCGGCCGAATGCTTCGCAGGTTCATGGTCAAGTACAACCGGTGCGCTCGAGAGTCACTGGGACGTGGTTTGAACCGCTTTGCCCTTGTACCAAAATGCCACATGCTTGCACACCAGGCAGAAGCCCTGGTGTGGCAGGCGGACACACCAGGATGCCAGCCAATGAGTGGAGGAAATCAAATGCAAGAAGATTTTATCGGGAGGCCCAGCAGATTGAGCAGACGTGTGCATGCTGCTCGTTTACATACTCGTACTTTTCAACGAGTTTTGCTCGCAAGTGCTTTGTGGCTGCAATCCGAAAACGATCTGGGATAATAGCCTAGTTCAGCCTAACGAAAATAGAGCCCCCTATAGGTATGTATATTTAAATAAACCCCAGAAAATTCCTGCAAGATAATGAGTCCGGCACTCTTGGGATCTCAGCGCTTTCGTGCCGAAGTCGACGTCGTGGACCGGAGCCGCGAGGAAGAAAGGGAGGGGGAGAGAGTTCAAGGAGCTTCAGAGTTGGAGACTGGAGATTTCTGATTTAAGATGTCATCTAGCATCATATCCATCAGTTTGGTCAGCATCCTAGGTTGGTACTTCAAATCTAAAACCCCTGAAAACCACAAAACCTGTCTTTTCTGAAAGACCCCGTATTCCAAACAGAAACCCGGCAAAGCCCTAAAAACAAAGGACCCGCAGGGTCCAGGTAGGGTTTAGGGTTTCGGGTTCAGGGTTGAGGGTTTAGGCTTTAGGGTTTAGGGTTTAGGGCTTAGGGTTTCGGGTTTTGCCCTTAAGGTTTAGGGTTTCGGGTTTAGGGCTTTGAGGGTTTAGGCTTTAGGGTATAGGGTTGAGGAATCAGGGTTTTGGGATGAGGGTTTAGGGTTTAGGGTTTAGGGTTTAGGGTTGAGGGTTTAGGCTTT